GCTCGGATAATATTTACCTATTTCTCAAGTACACCATTCCTGAGTAGACAGTTCCAAAGGGCACATCGATCAACCGAATTGAAGGCACCTTTGATGTCGAAGAACACGACTAAGGCGGGCCGCCAATATGTGTGACGGTGCTCCAACAAAGTGAAGATGTGGTCGATGCAGCCACGACCTCGACGTAAGCCGGCTTGCTCCTCACGAATCTGGCTTTCACGAGTCAGTCAGACTGTGAAGTATTACGGACGCAAGTAATTTGGAGGCGATGGGGATCAGACTGATTCCTATATGGTTGCCGCATTCCGAATGCGAGTCTCCTTTGAAGATGGGAACAATAACGGAGCGGATGCAGTCAGTTGGGACAGTTTCCTGCTCCCACAGTTTCACTAAGAATTTATGTAAATCGTCAACAAGAGCAGAGACCCCCCCCCCGAATTTGAAGAGGGCTGGATGAAGATCATTTAGTCCCACGGCTTTGCATAACTTCAACAGTCCGATCTCACGTTTGACTTCTGAGCGAGAGGGCGGATCCAAAGGGACAGCCCACGGAGCAGGGCGATCAGTGGCCGGTGAGGAATCGAACAATTCCGGCAAATTAAATTGCTTTTTAAAATGCCCAGCCCGACGTTCTAAACGTTTTGACAAATTGTGGATAGGCTGTCCACTCTCGTCACAAATTGTTTCACTAACACAAGGTCACCAGCTGCGCGTTTCCCGTATCAGACGGAATAACGTACGATGGTTACTAATGGCAGCGACCATTTCCATCTCTGACGCACGAAGAGATCACCAAGATTCGCGGTCTCTCTTCAGGCTAGCACGAAATTTTGCCCGGAGCTCTTTGCGAGTTTCATTGTGTTCGCTTCCAGCCAGAATATGCTGGAGAGCATCGATAAGTTCCAAAGACCGCGAAGAGACCCAATGTCCATGATGGCTATTAGACTTACCACATGCCTGGTCTGGTGAACATGCGACCAGTGACTTTCAATAGCATTCACTGAGCGCTTTCTCAACTTGCATATCAGCGTACTTTGATAGACATACAGAACAGCTGGCTTTGTCAGTTGGCTGGTGTCAATGCGCTCACAGCGTCGTCGTGGGCGTCCGCCAAAACGCATCCGCATGTCAGCACATACAAGTGCATGATCGGTGTCCACACATGTGCTCCAAATCGAGCGACAGTTCTGGATGCAGCCTCTCCAGCGGTAACTGATAGCAATGTGATCGATCTGCGTCCAAGGCTGGTGGGCGCCAAGTCACTCTCCGGCGTGTGCTGTGTCGGAAGCTAGTGCTCACAATGAGGGTGGACCTTACCGTAGTGCGATAGTTTATGTGCCTCAGTGATCCATTGAGCTATGCTGAGTGGTGCTTTTGCGCCTTCAGAGCCACTCATACCAGCCTCCTAGTCCTCGAAGTTGCGGGTTGGAAAGAGGGTGCAACTTATTCCTTAAAACGGACTCCTTGTAGTCCAACGCCAAATCCGCTGCCTTGCGGTCAGGTTCTTGAATCAAAGGCTTTGGTTGAGAACCCTAATCGTTCTCCTGTCTAGACCCGGGCAAGCTGACATTGACCTGCCCACGCAATACAATGAATTTCTCTTCAAACAAATTCCTGATGCTTTGGCCACCGCAGAGGATAATCAACGGTGCCCTATCTGCTGCGTCGAGCAGCTGGGAATCATAGAAGGAAGGTTAGTTATGGGGTCGGAATGGGAGTAAGACAAACACGTGGAAAAGGAAGGAGGCGCCAGCAGTTGCATGTTCCCGCTTATCCAATCTGCTGTATGCAACAGATAAGACGACCCCTGATAATCTGCGCGATGGCCGATGCAGGAGGAAATTTATTTGAAGAAAAAGTCATGGTTGTATGTGGGCTGAGATACTGTCAGGGCCCCCAGACTTAGAGAGGAGGACGGCTTCATCGCCTTAGTCTCTTTTCGCTGTAATACCGACGTCTTCTGGGCGATTTGATCCCTATGTTGGTAATTGTCTAACGCTGGACACTCCTGCCGCGAAGTACTGCAACTGCGCCACTCACGTTGACATCGTCGTGGTCACAGACATTGGCTTATACGTTAGCACAGTCGGCTGAATTGCAGACGACACTTCATTTGCGAGTTTGCGGAAGCTGTAACACTGCCTGCCGATTTGGTTTCGACATCTAATGTAGCCGATTACAAGACCCGTCTAGACCGGCATCTTGTCCACCTGCATCGCGATGTCCCTTCTGGCATCTACCCACGATGATGTATCATACACCGCAGTCAACTCCCGGCCGCTTCTCACCTGAGGCATCAACCAGTTCTTCTACCCCCAGCGCTCCCCTTTACGTGTCATCATAGCCTCCTTTTTCTACTCTACTTTACTCTTTCCTTAGTTGTATTAGAGGGCGTGGCGGGGAGTAACGCTTTGAGCCGGCGCTCCCGCTTTTGGGTCCGTAAGCCACTTGTTGTTAAATATACGAATGTACTTACTTATTTAAAATACGGCTGACATGCCAGTCCAACCTGCCAAGAATGTTGCATGGCCTTTTCATATGACCTGACGCTAACTCTTTACACCTGTACGTCATGTAAAGCTCCAGCTTTTAGTCCCATTAAATACGATGTTCGAATGTCCCAATCTTCAAGAAGGTCAGTGCACATTGTGCGAAAATCAGTGAGGAATTAGTCTTATTTCAACCGGATCCAAACTCCGACGACTTACTAGTCCCCGTGAGAACCGATCCACTGAAAGCCATGCTGGCTTCCACCTTGGTTGTGGTTGCGTCGACCACATATTAACTCTTCGCTAAGTGTTAGAGCAGAAATACACATACAGACGACCGACAATGGTGGTTTTCCTTGACTTGAAAGCAGCCTTCAACTCTGTTGACCGTGCCAGCTTGTGGCACGGGTTATATATGAAAAGCGTGCCGGCTAAATTCCTTACCATTCTAAAACCTCTCTACTGTTATTTCCGAGACCGTGTAAGAGTCGACGGCAAACTGTCTCCTGAGCTCAGCACAGTAAGTGAAGTTCGCTAGGGCTGCCCCATATCTCCTTTTCTCTTTAGGTGTGTTATCGAAATGATCATGATTGACTCGGTTACTTCAGACTCTACCGGAGTGGACGTTCTACCAGGTGACCGACTGACAAACCTGGAGTATGCGGACGACAGCTCTTCTTGGGTCTGACGCCGTGTCTGCAACTACTAGTGAATAGACTGATGCGTAGCGCTTTACGCATCGGCATGTGGTTTGCATCTTGAAAGTGCCAAGTACTGCTACAAGACAGGACGGATACACTACCGTTTCTTGATATCAGCGAGCAACCACTGGAAGTGGTGGATCGGTTCACTTACGTTGGTAGCTGTGTCCCTTCTGGTGGCCACATCACAGGTTAGTTCGCGTATTAGCAAGGACCATGTGGCTATCCAAAGACTCAGTCATCTATAGGAACGGTGGGATATCTGTCTGTCAAGGAAATGTAGGCTGCATAACGCTGCGGTAATGCCGGTCTGACTGAATGAACCAGAGACCTAGCCAGTTGGAGGCGAAGATGTTAAACGCTTAGCCGTGTTAGATCACCGGAGCTTGCGGAGTATTGCTCACGTCCGGTGGAAACACCGAGTGAGCAATGCCAGTTGGTTTTTAGTGAGAAGCGTTTTGGTGCCTCACGGGTGTTCGCCGAATTTTAATCGTTTACTATGCCATGTTCTCCGTATGCCTGGGTGAACGTATTTCTCGGCGTGCATTATACCGTAGCTGCGAGAATTTGTGTGAAACCGCGAGGTGGCCATTCGATTATGTGGTATAGAGACATGAAGGAATAGGCAGAGATTTGGTGAGGTTGGTGTGTGTTGTATCCGTGGATGGAGACCTCGGGGTGGTCCCAAAAATGGCTGGAAACCGAATCAGACATGACGCGGTCACGCAGCCAGTGGCGTTCCTTCATTCGGTATCTTGCATCTGATCGTTATTGTCCGTCCCATTATGATTAAATTAGCGCATTTCCTTGCTTCCGTTTTCTTTACACTGTATTTACATTCAACCCCACTATCTTGCCGTTGTTGTTTCTTGTTTTCATGAGATGTGAGTTGTGGCAACTGGATACATCGCACTTCAGTGCTCGAATCATATTTGATCAACTGTAGTGAACTGCTTTCCAAGGGATGAAGAACCAGATCGAGACCAGGTCGGATTGGAACATTTCGTTCAATGAGTTGGAGCCTCCGAGATCAGAAGCCCCCAATAGCTGGCGAAACTAGTGGACGTCGATATCCTGAAGCTACCTTCCCTTATCAAGTAAATAGTTAGGGGAATAAAAGCAACTGGTTCCACAACTGCAACACGCGGTCTGTCAACGGGAACGAACTGGACTATAAGAAATAGAGTTCAAAGTAAAACGAACTTAAGACATTTGCTGAGCTTAACGCGCGGCCAATTATAAAATGTTTCCAGCTCATCCAAATGATCGTCGAATTGAAAATCGGATGGGCAACAATCGTATTCCCGTCGATCCGACGCAGATGAAGGCTGTAGCAAAGTAGCAAATTATTTAACAAATATCAGAGATAACACGACTGATCGGCCAGTACTCAATACAACTGAGACAAAGCTAGATAAGGTTAACCCGCATCACGCAAACGTACAAGCAAAGAAACGCGGTAGTAATTGCTGTACATGATGTCAGCCCGGCGGCGTAAGAGGAAAAAAGGTTCTACACTCATTGCAAGAATGACCTAAGGCACAATAAAGGTTCAAGCTGATAACACTAGAGTAAGGGGGATCGAGAACCACCATGCGCACGTCCCTCACAAAAAGAACGAGGGTCAATTTTCAAGTAGTGACGTATACAATATACATGTCACCTTTTCCAACACGTCTGTGGCCAAAACCCAAGTAGACACTATGCTAACAGTAAAGAATAAGTAGCGGATGATGAAGAAGCGGGTTAAATAAACGGAAAGAATGCGTCAGCAAATTCAAATCTGTCGCCAACAGGCACGAAGACTCACCCGATAATCAGTACCTAATACAGCGCGGGTACCAAACGCTGGCAAATCGGGCCATAGCTTAACGGTGCGCAGCCAAATACTGACCATATCGCGGCAACCAGGGAAGGCGGTCGTCGTAAGACTGTCCATGGATTCAACCGCACGCCAAGGTGTAGAAGGGTCACCACTGACGATGGGCATGGCCAGAGTCCTACTCTCTTCTTCATTGTACGTCCAGTCACTTTCGACGGGAGAGTTAGGTAGCGGCATGTATCTGAGCGTCTTACTACACAAGTAGTATAATGGCCAAGTAAGATATTCATAAGTGTACACAACGAGTTTCACGATACCAATGCCAAGATGGATCGAAAATTTGTTTGCAAGATCCATTGGTAAAGAATTGTCGAAAGAACACACGGACTTGGGACCGGGGAATTCGCGGGTATAAAAAGAAAAGAGTACAGGTGAAGTTGGATGCGGATTTGGACCTGCGCACTGGATTAGGGCTAGATATTTTATCCTGCAATAAAATACATTCCACAATAAGTAATGATGATATGGATGGTTATGGATTGATAGCTAAGGTTAGGGTCAAGCACGCGCAACAAATCCATTGGTTCCTCGCTTATGTGAATCAATAAATAGAACGCATAAATAACTGATAACACGTAATAGGTTGAAGGTAAAACACATGGACACCATACATTATGTCAGTGTAAATCCAGAACAAAAACAATTAGGATGCATCTGTTTGACATTCACTAGTAGACCAGAAACAGCGATAGTGGACAACTCTTCTACCGCCTCTGGTATAGCGCACCAGTGTCTTCATAACAAGGCAACAGGTAAGTTGGCGTTGAGTGTAGCCTAAGTATCGCTTGTCGTTTCCTCTTTGCTTTGTCTTCATATTTCGTCTTCAGTGTCGTTAGAGCCACCATCTCTGATGTATGCTTATACGCCACCCATGTATTCGCCTTGCCCTCGGTCCGCTACGGTCAGCTGTGACAGCACCGCCCATCTAGTTACGAGACCTGACATAAGCACATCGCTCATCTAGCTCCGACACTTACCAAGTGTTATTTCAGTCGTATAGAAAGTATCTCCTTCGACTTAGCCCCTTGGTCCAATACGACACACATACGCCCTTTACACAGAAGCTCTTTGAACCCTCGACCGGACGCGTGTTACAGTGGCGAACAACTTAAGCAAAACCCTGGCGAAATGAAGGCTGAAAGTGTCGTATGCAGCTTTGTTAACCTATAAAAGCTTTATAAGCGAGGAACATTTAGCTTTTGCAACCTTTGCTTTGACGTTGCTTTGACAAACGGTTGTTCAGCTAACCTATAAACGGCATGCATAACCCGAATATAGCCTAGTGATAGCGTATAGGATTATCAGTTGTGCGGCGATGGTTTAAACCCTGGGTCCGCCGCCTTTTGTACTCGTTGCGGCGGTATACATACTAAAGTTGGAATTATACGGAGTAGATGGCGCTGCCCAGTGCGCGAAACTGATAACCAAGATTAAAAGCTTTAATATGATTATACGCTTGCACGTCTACATGATGGCCACTCTGCAATCCAACGTCCTTCTTGCACCTTAATCTAGGTTACGAGGGAACACCAAGCACCTGCTTGAGCCACCGTGCTAACGGGGTTTATTTGCGCGCCAGTTTTCTTCATTTGTTGCTCGTAAGATAGTAGTAAGCAGCTACAGTATTTCCGTGCTTTTCATTAACTCTGATGCCTCACACGAAACAAACCCTTTATGTCTTGCTTCTGCTGGTTTCTATGGTTTTAGTGGATTTTTATTGGTCACTTGCAGCATAGGGTGGATCATATACGTTACCGGTAAGCGGAAAGCCGTTTTAGAACCATATTAATTTTATATGCTAACCGTTCACTTTTCTACCGCACGCAGTCCAAAGTTAGCAGGGTAGGAGGTTTCTTCGCTGCAGAAACATAGCAGGCATATGACGAATTCCCGCTTTCTGCGAATTCTCCGGAGCAACGCCCTTTAACGCAACTTTTGAACAACCCGCGAGCGAGTAGTGTCGGGTAAGATCAGGTCTCTAACACGATATAGGCTTCCGCCTAAGGAGCATCTTGCTTGTTTTACCGGCAAGCAGCCCAAGGCTCCCTGTAGTTAAAATTTTAATCGCCTGCCTTACTTATGCCAAATAACTGAGGCAACAACAACCAATCTTGTACTTTCATCATTCAGTTCTGAGCAAAGCACACCCATAACTTTTAGAAGATTTCTGGAAAAATATCTAACCAACATTATACTGATCTCTTTGAAGGCGTCCACCTTTTTACAGTCCGACGACTAAGCGAGGCTTGTTCCAAATGCCAAGCACGCGGTTTGCAAATATTTCCCCGAATATCTAGGCGAGACCTCCAACACTTCAGCTCAAGCGGTTGAACTGCATTATACTAGTCGCCAGCTACTGAATTCCATACAAATAGCATTATTCCGTAGATACGGCGTGTTTGGTTCCTTGGCCTCCCAACCGCTTCAAGAGAAACCACCCGCTCCGTCGCTGAACACTAGCGTTCCATTCACAATTATGAGCCAAAACGTACAACTAGCCATAAAAACCCATTTGCTCTCCCTATCGATCTCCTGCTTGACCACACTTATGTAGGAGAGTTCTTCCGCCTCAGATTACAGCCGCCCTCATCTTCTTTCTTTTTTCTTTTTTCCGCAGTTGCATTTCCCCTACCCCCGCCCAAAGCGGGTAAGCTTGCGGTTTACGCTGTGACTGAATTGAGGAAGCACTGGATTGCTGCGGAAGACGAATATTTGTTCCCTGTAGCATTAGATAACGATCCTCATGTGACTCTTGGATTTCGATACATCTATTTTCGCTTGCCTGTGTGTGTTCACTACAGCATTCCCTTTCTGGTGCACCACAAAGTCCCTCCTTTTGTGACTACTACTGCACCGTAAGCTGATGTATCGTTTTCGGGAAATGTACTCAAGGTGGCTGCTGAATCAAGTCTTGACAATACTGGTAATCCTTGAACCCGTGATATTGCAGCAATGCAGAGCTGAGTTTCTTGCTTTTCCAAATAAGTTTGTGATCGCTCTTGCGACGGTTGATTGCTTTCAGGCTTGACTGAACGATTTTCTGACACGCGGCGGCAATGGATAAAAATACGATAGACCATCACAGTGTCCTTCAAAATGCTTGATTATTTCTAAACTACCCGGTTCATTGATCCGACGATCCTAGAACTTTGTTATGCGACTCGCTTCAGAGCCGCTGGAGTAGCTGATAATTGCCAACTGGTATGGCCTTGGCTATTCATTCAACTGGATCAACGCCGCGGTTTCCATCCAAGCCGCTTTCCAAGCTTTCTATTTGTCCGACACCGTGCTTTCTCTCATCGATATCGGGGTTGGCAATGAGATGTTTGATTATTCCTACCTTGCGAGCGGGGTTTGATACGTTCGTACCTCTGTCACAATCTTTTGAGCCTCCATCTGCCAGCCGCATCAAGAGAAACAGAAATAACCGGCTATGCACACTAGCGTTCTATTTACCATTATGGGTCAAAAAGTACAACTGGCTGTATATTTAATCACTCAGTCCCCCACCTGATTGCTGGCTTGCTCGACAGTACTGCCAGGTGAGTCCCTCCACCTCAGCTTCCAGCCATAATCTCACGGCGCCTACGCCTGCACACGGTATTCTGCATGGGGCCAATCCATCCGAGTATATAATGAGAGGAATACCACCGAGCTTGTATTAGTTAAGGTTCATTTGAGGTGAATAAGTTCCCGTTGCGCCCTGTTAACAGGATGCTACTATTGTGTCTGGGGTGAAGCTATTCGGGCTTGTCGTCTTCCGTCGTCCGGGCATGTTCTTTCGAAAGCTTTGTGGGGAGCAGTGTTTGAATGACAAGGATAACAGAACATGGCTTTGTCAATACCACTTCTGCTCCAACCTGCGTTGCAATTCTCGCCTTGCTTGGAAAACCTCCGAGCGTGGAGCAGTTCACAGTGTGCTCGTAGTGTTTCTTCATCCGTGCTTTTCTCAAGGAAGAGTTTGTGGGCTTGGTGTTGCATGGCACTGATCAGAAAGTTGACATTGTCGTTTTTCTTCGGTTTGGAATTGGTCACCTGCGAACTTCTCGCTGCTTAGTTCGCGGGTAACTGCTTGCTTTTTCGGGATATGGAAGCATTTTCTCGCTGCCCAACTGTAAACGAATTCAGACCACATAGATAATCCATCAGTTCAGTAATACTTGTTAGAGCTTCGTGTGCTTACCCACGATCAATCTAGTCTTGCCTGCTAACTATCGCGAGGCTTATTACCTGTCTGCAGGTTTCACGATCCCCGAATAACCAGGAAACTTTGTCATACCTACTTCTCGCCCTGCTCGATTTTCCTGCTGACTTGTTGCTTTTGTTACATAACGTTTCCGCACTCAATGTTATCGCGGTTTTCTTTAGGGAACTGTGCTTCAGCTCTTGCAGGCTCTTTATCCTGTGGAAGCTCACGCTTATTGGGGTCCAATCCATACGTACAAATCATAGCTGGTAAGGTCGGCTCGAACCTCTCTTTTCTTGCTTAGTGGATTTTTGCAAATTGGTCTACCTATTACTTTTAAGTTTCCTTAACCTCTCGCCCTCTTTTCCTTTTGTCGTGGCTAAACGAGTCTGTCCTGGGTCGTCATGGATTATACCACAGCCGACTCAAACAAAAAGAGGTGAGCTTAAGTGTTCAGAACCGGTGACGGTCTGGACTGGCAGAATTCAGTGTATTGCCTGCAGTAGTTGGTTCCACGAAAGATCCACTGCTTTTAGCTCAACACAATATGGCGTTATGGCCATCAGTGTGCTTTTTCTTATTAATTGTCCTACATGTTGCAAGCACAATACGCAGCGTGTTCCGCTTTCGGATGTAAGATTTTTGGCGCAGATGTCCTACTTAGGAAGTGTGGTAAACCTACTTGCTGTCCGGCCTAGACCGGAAACTGTATGCAATCGTAGCAAGTCTTGAATTCCTCGGTGTAGTGGTCATGCAGTTTATTGGAGGTTTTGCAACTCTTCGCTAGCGAGCAGCTTGCCTAACCCACTTCATTATGTGCTCATGTCCTCTGTTAACGGCGACCCGTCGGACGGTGGTTTTGACTTCATTCGTAATAAGAACGGTTTAAAGGACGCTGGGTCTGTGAAGCGTGGTTGAAGTAAGAAGAAGGCGGTGCCCACGCTTAAAGTGCAAGCGAATAGGGACGCAACGTATACTGGATGCTCCTTGAACACTACATCCCCGGAACTAAGACGTGTGGTCCTTCCACAAGCTTCGTCTTGTACAACCACCAATTCCGCATGAACGTGTGTGTCCCCAGCCCGTTGTTATGTAACGCGCGCTGCAAACGCACTAGGTCGGGGCGACTTGTATATGGATTGTTGCGTAACCTTTAGAAAGGTCAATGAATCTATTACTACATTTCGCAAGAAAAGGGTGCTACATCATCATCAATCGTATACAATTTGTGTCACTCGGCTCACTCCGTCTGGATTCCTTAGAGTGACGGTGCGTAAACTAGCCAAACTTGGATACGTTTTAGTCAGTAGTTCAAACATTCTAGTGCGCTTCTGTCCGCACCGGAGGGTCGCCAAGTGCTTATGCCAATTGTTTTTAGCTTAAACGTTTCCGGAGGCAACATACAGCCGGCTCTACCTCCTGCTGAGAGGGTAAAACTGCAAGCGGTTATCAAAACCTTAAGTCAAGTCGCGCTTCTGATGGAAATACACTGCGGTTGGTGGGCTTCCGTGTGGGGTGCCAGCGATCCACTCCTGCCATCCTACAGCACATCCTGGTGGCGCGCGATCCTGGACGCAACATACAAATGCCCTTCATTTGGAAACGTAACGTACGTAACTTACGTAGCCTGCGTAAAAATGCGTGTGAAGTTGGCGCACTTGTGGACCTTTCTCACTCAAAGGGCATTGCTTTTACTGAAACCGCTGTTTTCGGAGATAGTGGACAGTGGAATCCTCCTTGCTGGATACCCTCCACTGAGATCAGCTCCACCCTGTTACGGGCGAGGTGGCGTTGCGTGCTTACTGAACTCCTGGTTAGCCGTTTCCAAAACGTATAAGTTCCACAGAACTG